GTAGGTAGGTCGTCGGGGTGTAGACTTCGGAGGCGCCTCACTCTGATGGGATCACCATCTGCTTCGAAATTTCAACGATCAAAATGAGCAACAACGAAAAAATCATGCGCAACTATATGGCGCGTCGAGGCATTGATACCCTTTTTAAAAAGAATGGTATACAATTTTCAAAGAAAACAATAATTATAGATTGTACTAATTGTTGCACACTATATAAGCAATTTTATTTTCATAGACATTGGATAAAAATGTATATATAAGAAGGCTTGTATAAATAGTTAACATATCCTATTTTAAAAAAGGGTGCCTTGCTGGTCGAAAAATGAAAATTATAAAAATCTGCCGAGCTGCTTGCGATTTGAAAGCGAGTGGACTTTGGGACGTTTGTATGCTCCTGAGCGAGGGTATGTATGAGAGTTTTGCGCCCGAAGTACAGAATTCACAAAAACTTCCAATCTTGTAAAATTGGCTTCGGGACAAGCAGGCAGGCAAGCAACAGGCCCACAAGCGCAAAAGATGTTATATTCATACACAAAATATACATATATATATATATATATTTTAAATGCGCACATGGCAACGCTTAGGTACTCTTACCAACGATAACGATCCTAAATGCAAGAATTTCGCAATGACGTGGCAAACCCTTTCATATTTCATATTACTTTTCCCTTCAGAAGGGAAGAATGCCACCGACTTTTGAGAAAAATTGAATTTGTGGGTATTTTTGCTTGTGCGGACAAATACACACACAGACAGTACAACGGTAAATACACAAATTGAAAGAGCACTGAGAGGAAGCCAATACAGTTTCGAGCAGTGCGAGGAAATAAAAAAAAGCAGCGATGCCGTTTTATGAACCCAAACAAAAATGAAGGCGACTTTGGAATAGCCGCACAGAAAACGAGCGGCCCAATCGCCGTACTCTGATTGTCCAGTTTTTATGTATGTTGTTTGGTTTGTGATTGTATCTAGTATATTTAAGGATTTTAATTTTTACACAAATTTTCTCTGGTCACGAAATCATTGATGTGATCATATGCAGGTGCTGGTGCAACGGTCAACATTCATTCATCAATTCATACCCGAAAAAGAAGGCGCGCATCAGACGCGTGCCAATATTGAATTTTTTGCGCCCACGATCTGCCTATTTAACAGACATTTGTGATTTGCGGATTAGTGATTGTTCTAAACCGTCTGGGCTGGCGACATAGGAAAAACGGATTGCTCATTTATATGAGCCGTGATTTATATGAGGCCGTTCTCCAGAAGATGTAGATTCCTTTTTCGAAGTCAAGGGAACAGGCAATTTTAGCATGCTGTCTAGCGATGTTGTTAATAGACAGGCTGTCCCTGAAAGCAAACTGATAAGGCTTGAGTATGGTGGGAGCCTAAATGTTTTTATACCCTGAACCCATTAAAAATGGGTATAAGGGTATATTGTATTTGTGTGAAATCCAAAAGTATGTAACAGGCAGAAGGAAGCATCACCGACCCCATAAAGTATATATATTCTTGATCAGCATCAATAGCCGAGTCGATCTAGCCATGTCTGTCTGTCTGTCCGTCGTCCGTCTGTCCGTTGGTCCGTCCGCCCGTCCGCCCGTCCGCCCGTCCGTCCGTCCGTTCGCCCGTCCGTCAGTATGTATGAACGCAAGGATCTCAGAACCTATAAGAGCTAGAGAAATTTTAGATGTAGGTGCTCCTAGTTCCTGCGCAGATCGAGTTTATTTCCGATAATCGATAGCTTACTCCGTTTCCAAGCAATCGATAAAAATCGATATAGATATCCTGTTTTTGGGGCAATTTTGGTAAATAATAAGAGCTAGAGTCACCAAACTTGACATATAGCTTCTAAAATAAAATATATATTTGCATTTAATGTTGAAGGAAGAGAGTTCAGGGTATCCCCTAGTCGGGAGGTCCCGACTAGAAACTCTTACTTGTTTAATTTGTGACAATAACATTTTTCTTATAAGAGGCTAATAGCAGAGAGGAATGACATTGGCCTGTACCTTGCACCACTGAAGAAGTTGCTTGGCGTTTATGAAGCCAGGCTCATCTGTGTTTTCCCAGCTGCCGTCTGCTCTTCGGGTGGGATCTAAGTTGACTTTATAATTAGGTATTTCCAAGTGGTTTTGTGCTATAGAGCCTACTCGCCTGTTTATGTGGTCAGTGTGCTTAAGCTCGGGGCTGCTATTGGACATGTTCTCATTTTGTTTAGGAATTTGCTCGAATTACCAGGCTAGTGCGTTGACTTTTTCAAATTTAGACTGGATAACGGTGGCGACGTTAATATTGATTTCATTATGCTCAGTGGCTGTTAGGTGGATGTCGTGTTTAAGTGGTTTCGTCTGTTTGCTGGCTTGGATTACTATGTGTTTTTAAGGGATTTTAAGCAAATATTACTCGGCCTTATGTATTTCAAGTGGGTTTCTATGTGTCCTAGGTTACTGGTGTGGATATGACTATTGATTTGGTTTGTGAGGTCGGAGATTAGGGATTTTAGCTGTGACTTTTCGTCGAACGACAATGAGTGTTGGCGCCTAGCAAGGTATCTTCTAAGTATGCGCTTCCGCTTGATAAGAGCATGGAATTGTGCGCTCAGTTAAACTGTATTATAGGGTTTAGATGGGTGTATGGTTCTTTTGGGAATGGCATGCGGCGAGTCCAGTGCAGTGCTTCGGGCGGTATTAAGATCCTCGATGTGTGTGTCTATTTCTTGAGGACTTAGGTTGGAAGCTCTTACAATTGGTGTGAGATTTCTTAAAAGGACAGAGTTCCATATATCTATGTTGATACTGTCAAATTTAGGGACTATTTTTGGATCGGCGCCTATAAGTTTATATTGGCCTAGTTGTATTTTTAGGGTTACCCCGAGATGGTCTGATGGGAATTCATCTATTGTGTTGCAAGGGAAACTATTTTCTGTTTGGAGGTCTATAGAGCATATGAAGAAGTCTATTGAGGATGGGTTGTTGGGATTATTGGGACAACTAGGTTCTTTGGGGGGACAAAGAACGACGTTGGGTTGTCCTAGAAGCCAGGTTTGAAGGTTTTTACCGGCGGTATTTATGTGGGCTGGGCTATAGTGGGGCACATGCCAACAAGGGTGTTTGGCGTTAAGCGAGTCTTTGTATGAAAGTTTAATTGCTACGGCTTCGATGAAGCATAGTGGCGGAATATCTAGGCGTTCAAACTTTATGCCGTTTTTAACGCATATAGCGACAGACGTACCACCAGTTTCTGGGTGGCGTTGCGCATGTCTTGTGTGGGTGGCTTTTAGAGTTTGCCTTATAAGCTGGTATTGGGATAGCTTTGCGGTATTTCTGTTGCCTAGACGATGCTCTGCTATGAGCATTATGTCTGGCCTATGTCTATTTAGGAATTGGTCGAACTCATGTCTCTTCTGTAGTGATATGAGTGAATTGACGTTTTGGAAGATACATTTAAGGGAGGTCATTTTTATTGTGCGATTTGGATGAGAAAGGGCTTGTTTTATTTGGCGAGCTTCTGACTCATCTTGGGCTTGGCTGGTGGGGTATTTTTTGGTAAGTTTCTGCATGATGTCTATGCAGGTGAAAATATCTTTGCCAAAGGCTTGGACACTATCGCTGTTGATGGTCTCAAGCGAGAGATTTGTTGTTTGTGGGCCATTTGGGCCAAATTGTTAGCAAGATGCTTCTTTAGTACCGGGTTGGTGACAACAATGTTTTTTTGGAGCTGTGGCTGACGGGAGTCGGGCCTAACCTCATCTGTTTTTTTTTTAAGAGTGAGGCGAATGGGACATTATTTTAAATCTTGCTTACAGTTAATGCTGTGGTGGCTTTGGTAATTTTTTTTTACATTTCTCTGTTCGGTGCTATTTTGCTTATTTTCGATTTTGGCCGTGATTGCTACTCTGACCGGGCAAATTTTAGCATTTGCTGTGTGTTGAACCTTGCAATTGATATATTGTGTTTTATTGTTTTCTGATGGGTTGTCGATTTTTAGATACTGCATTGGCCGGGGGCGTGGTCAGCAGTGCATTTGACGCATCTATAGTGCATTTTGCAAATTGCTTGCGGCATGGCAATACCGTTGGCAGTTGTGGCATTGCTTTATTTTATTTTCGGCTTTGAAGGCCTCAACTTTTATTTTGCAATTAAGCAGACTTTTGATGGAGTATATTGTTTTGGCCTTTTCTGTTTTTTTCGTTTGGACCAACCAAAAGTTCTTTTTAAATGGTTTGACGCTAATGATTTTCAGGTCAGGGCAGGTTTCTTGTACTGCTATCTTAACTTCATCTTCTGTGAAGATTTGCTAGGTAATTTTCTTATAACTATGGAGTAAGGCTTAAGTTCTTTGGGGGTGTAAGTGTAGTAGCTCTTTTGATTAAGGTCTGATAGTTTCTTAGTCTCTTGGAAATCTTCGAGGGTAAAGACTTTAATATGGGCTCTATTTTTGTTGATTATATTAAGTCTAAAACGCTCATTTTTTATTATTTGTCGCAACATACCTGTCAGTTCCTTTGGATTTACATTATATGTCGCTATAATGGGTAGTTTTGACGTCTTGCTTTTCGTCTCTTTTGTTTTGGGTGGTCCAGGTAGTTCCTTCCTGGGTTCAGTTGGGGCTATCGTGGTGGTTTCCTCTGGGTCATCATCGATGTCCATATCGTCAGCTACTTTTGGAGTGGCTATTTTCTGGCCCTTTGATTTCTTGTTTTTCTTGGGCTTGGCTTCGTTCTCGTCTAGTTGGGAGAGAGCCGTAAATTTGTTGCCATCGAAAGCCTTTGCCGTTGCTTGTATTTTTAGGTGTTTCAGCTGGTCTTGAATTCCTTGATGTTTCTTCGAAATTGCTCCTGGCTCGCAGAACCGGCTGCTTGTGCTCGGAGACGCATTAGCTCTTCCATGATCGAGTGGTATTTTGTGAATTTCATCTACACACGTCCGGTTGTTTCGAGATCGTCATCATTTTCCTGTATATTAATAGTTTCTTCATCCGTGTACTCATCATAACTAAGCGATGATATTGATGAAGTGCGGCTGCGTTTACCACATACGTTCTCCTGCTCGTTATTGAGATCACCTTGTCGGTTATTGTATTTTGTATTTTGCACTTGCCATTTTGCTATTTGTATACCTCGATTGATACACTTTTCTTTAGTTTTTAGGTGCAATGCCGACTTGCTTTTTTGCACTTTGCCACTGCCGTCTCTTTTAATTTTTCCGAATTTAGCGATCGGGCAGCAGCGCGAGGTGCAGTGCACCCGCGAGAGCCAGGATAAGCGCAGCTATTCGTGCAAAGAGTGCTGCAGCAAGCCGCTGCCCTGCGGCAATCATAAATGCAAGGATTCATGCCACGCCGGCGCTTGTCGTCCCTGCAAGCTGAGTCCCACACAAATCACCAGCTGCCCATGCGGCAAGCTGCCGGTGCCGGCAACGCAGCGCGCCAGTTGCCTGGATCCGGTGCCCACCTGCGAGGGCGTCTGCGGCAAAACGCTGCGGTGCGGCAAACCCGCGCATCCGCATCAATGCGCCAGCAAATGCCACCTAGGCCAGTGCCCGCCGTGCCCCAAGCAAACGGCAGTCAAGTGCCGTTGCGGCCACATGGATCAGATGATCAAATGCCGCCAATTGTCTACCCGTGCGGACGATGCGCGCTGCAAGCGGCGCTGCACCAAGAAACGCAGCTGTGGCAAGCACAAGTGCAATGCCGAGTGCTGCATCGATATCGATCACGCCTGCCCGTTGCCCTGCAATCGCACGCTCAGCTGTGGCCGGCATAAATGCGATCAGCCCTGTCATCGTGGCAATTGCCCGCCCTGCTATCGCAGCAGCTTCGAGGAGCTGTACTGTGAGTGCGGCGCCGAGGTCATCTATCCGCCGGTGCCATGCGGCACCAAGAAGCCCATCTGCAAGCGACCCTGTTCGCGGACACACGGCTGCGAGCATCCACCACAGCATAATTGCCATGCGGCGGCCAGCTGCCCGCCCTGCATGATGTTCACCACCAAGTGGTGTCATGGTAATCACGAACAGCGCAAGACCATACCCTGCTCCCAGGCCAGCTTTAGTTGTGGCCTAGCCTGCGGCAAGCCGCTCGCCTGCGGTCGCCACAAATGCATACGGCCCTGTCATGAGGGCGAATGCCAGCAGCCGGGCGAGCTGTGCCGCCAGAGCTGCACCAAGCCGCGTCTATTGTGCGGCCACAAGTGCGCGGCCATATGCCATGAGGGCGTCTGTCCAGAAACGCCCTGCAAGGAGCTGGTCGAGGTGCAGTGCGAGTGCGGCAATCGCAAGCAAAGCCGCAGCTGCCAGGAGCTGGCACGGGAGCACAGTCGCATTGCCACCGCACAGCTGGCCTCCTCCATGGCGGAAATGTCGCGCGGCAACTACATGGAACTCAGCGAGATACTGGCGCCCAATAAGAACAATAAATCCAACAAAACCTTGAACTGCAATGATGAGTGCCGTCTGTTGGAGCGTAATCGTCGCTTGGCTATTGGCTTGCAGTCGCGTAATCCGGAGACGCAGCTCAAGTCGCTGACAAAGTACTCGGAATTCTTGCGCGGCTTTGCCAAACGCAATCCGGCGCTGACAAAGAGCGTCTATGAAACCCTCACCGATCTGGTCAAGCTGGCCAAGGAGAGCAAACAAAAGTCGAGAAGTCACTCGTTTCCCACCATGAATCGTGAGAAGCGTCAATTGGTGCATGAGCTATGCGAAGTTTTTGGCGTGGAGTCTGTTTCCTACGACAAGGAGCCCAATCGCAATGTGGTTGCCACAGCGCACAAGGAGCGGTGCTGGCTCCCAGCCACTAGCATCATGGAGGTGCTGGCACGCGAATCCGGGCAACGTCGCGTGCCCGTGCCCAGCAACAATGCATGGAGCCTCAAAAAGTAGCAGGCAACAATTCATTCGTTTATCCTTGACAATACACGAACACATTTAGCAGAGTTTATCAAAAGAGAGAGAGGGGCAGGGAGATCTCTTTGTAAATCTCTTAAAACTAGCCTGAACATAATTGAAAAATTTCTAAAACGTTAGTTCAAATATTGTTGCATGGACAATGTTAAAGTAAAAGAAAGGTTGCAGGATATACCAAATGAACATAAAGGAAAAAGTGTGGAAAACAATACTAAAAAAAAAAAAAACGGGCAAAATTGGAAACTGTTAATCAACTTTCAACTGTTTTATGATGAATTTATATGAAGCTGAATCCTTTGACTACGTTGCAAACAATAATAAACAAATAAGGGTCGCATTGTTTGTCACTTGTGGCCGTAATATTTATTTCCGTGTCCACATCACGTATATTACTTTTTCCAATTTAGGTTGGTCATGCACTAGCATTCGCGTTTGACGCGTATCCACACTCGCGTTTGACGCGGCTTCACATTCACGTGTTCGACACGTTTCCAAACTCGCGTTCAAGGCGGCTTCACACACAGTCACGTGTTCGACACGTTTCCAAACTCGCGTTCACTTTGACTTTAAGCAATCACAGGAGATGCGGACGTTGCAACTGCAGACTCAGACATTTCGTGGGATTTACTTTACTTTTGTGAACTGAAAACACTATTTCGGTGTGAAAACTTATTTTTTCTAGTATTTATTTATTGGCCACAGTAATTTACATGTTAATACCATTAACCAAGCAAATTATTTGCTGGACAGTCAGAGTACGGCGTTGGGGCCTCTCGTTTTCTGTGCGGCTGGTCCAAAGTCGCCTTCGTTTTTGTTCGGGCTCATACATAGAGTAATACAGATTAAAATGTATATAAAAGAAGATTTGAGCTATTTGGTAACATCACTTACGTATAGTTAAGATACCCTATTTTGAGAAAGGGTGGCTCTCTGATCGAAAAATAACAAATTATAAAAATCTGCCGAGCTGCTAGCAAGTTGAAAGCGAGTGGAAAGAGAAGAACACATGACTTTGTGACTGCGAATTATAGGCATAGCAGTGCTTAGAAACTACAACAATGAGTTAGAAGTGTGCAGTAGCTACGATCATAGGCTATAGCCTCTAACAAAAAAGGGATAGCAAAAAATACATCATATGTATATCTTACTCCCTTACTCGCGATTTTGGACCAGCTGCCACCGATATTTTTTTGCTCACTTGCCCAGTATGTGATGTCCGGTCTATATGTTGTTTGGCTAGTCTTAGTGCTTATAGTTAGATGGTCTGTTGAAAATCTGATCGGGATCCGGACTTGCTATCAGTATGTTGTTTGCTAAGTGATGCTATCTAGTATTTGTTGGTTTATACTGTTGTCTACGCGTTTCGTCTGTGAGATCTTGTAGAGTTTTGAGTATTAAATTTAATTATAGTAGCTGCAGATAATACTATCCGCACATCGTACACATTTTACAATAGCAAACAGTCCATTACAATATTGTAAAGATGCAACAAAGTGAAAGGTATAGAAACAACAATTTTTAGTAATTGATAAGTGTTTTGGTTTAATTGCATCTGATGGCAAAAATAGAAAGTGGACCGGGTGGATGCGCGCTGTTGAGTTGGAGTTTTATGCGGAAGTCTGGAAAGATATAAAACTAAAGGTACATAATATGCAATTGATAAGTATTAAGCGGTAAGTTAACAATCAACAATAATTTCACAATTCCAATTCCAATATTTCCAAATGCTGACAAAATAAAAATTGTTTTCTCTTGGAAAATAATATGTAGCCCTTAAAAGGGCTTTGTTGAAAAACAAATTTCAATATTAAAAATGCATGCCGACGAGTAGCTTGCATATCAAATTATTTTTTGGTTGCAGATGCAGTCTTTGCCTTCGGCTTCTTGGCAGCAGCTTTTTTCGGAGTTGCTTCTGATACGACCTTTTTGGGCTTAACACTTGAGGAAAGAAGGTATAAAGTATGTAAATTATTTATATGATATTTACAATGATGAAGTATTTACAATTATAAGTTGAGAAGTCCAATCGGACTTAAATTAAGGCAGCGTATATGAGTAGACATGGCATTTATTATATTTGCTGATATAGACAAAAAGAAAAATTCTTTCTCTTAGAAAATCGTATTTGTAGCCCTTAAAAGGGCTTTGTAGGAAAACAAATTTCATTATTAGAAATTTGCATATGCTGACAAGCAGTTAGCAATTTTAAATTATTTCTTCGTTGCAGATGCAGTCTTCGCTTTTGGCTTCTTGACAGCAGTTTTCTTGGGGGTCGTAGCCGACACGACTTTTTTCGGTTTAGCACTTGTGGTCTTAGGTTTAGGGGTCTTTGGCTTTGTTGCGCTTGACTTAGCCTTTGCTGTTGTAGGCTTGGCCTTTATGGTTCCCGTTTTCTTCGCATCCTTAGCCTTTTCTTTGTCAGCCTTCTTTTTCTCAACATTTTTTTTGGCTGCTGCGGATTTTGATAGCTTTTTATCAGCGGCACCCGCTGCTTTCTTCGTGGTAGACGTACTACTCTTGCTTTTAGTTGGTGCTGCCGCCGAAGCATTTACCTTCTTGGTTTTCTTCTCGACAGCGGAGGCCTTTGGCTTGGCATCCTTGTTAGCGGATGCAGATAGTTTAAACGAACCAGAGGCACCCTTGCCCTTTGTTTGGATCAGCTTTCCATTCGCAACTGCATTCTTAAGGTACTTTTTAATGAACGGGGCTAGCTTCTGGGCATCGCACTTGTATGTAGCACCGATATATTTTTTAATTGCCAGAAGGGATGAGCCACCACGTTCCTTCAAATTTTTAATCGATGCATCTACCATTTGCTGAGTTGGTGGGTGCGATGGCGGAGCTGCTGTTGACTTCTTTGATTTTGGTGTGGCTGCTGCCTTTTTAGTAGACACCTTTTTCTCGCCTGAGGCTGCTTGGGCAATCACAGGAGATGCGGACGTTGCAACTGCAGAATCAGACATTTCGTGCGCTTTACTTTACTTTTGTGAACTGAAAACACTATTTTGGTGTGAAAACTTTTCTTCTTTTTTATTGGTCACAGTAGGTTACATGGTAATACATTTTGGTACCTTATTTATTAGTACAGTCTTGATTGACAAAGTCAAGTTAACTTAATTTTAGGTTTTACATTTCATGTTGCCTTGCGCTTCTAGCTTATCCAGGCGTTAATTCTATTACTTAATTTTATTTATTTTATAGTTCTTAAGGTTTATGTTTTGGTGTAGTTGTGTAATTTTATTGTGTATATATATATTCCTAGGAAAGACTCGTATTGAGTAAAAACCTGGATTTCATTGTGTTAATTTGGTTTTGTTGGTTTTTGTCTTATAACTAGCTTAATTAGTGATAACAAGGGGCTTAGGAACTAGTTAACTGGATTGAGGAAGAGATAGGAGGTAGGAAATATTTATACAATAGAAGATAGGGAGAAAGGGGGGAGATATGTTGCGACAAATAATAAGATGAGCATTTCGTTTTTTATTGTCTAATGTTGTAAGCAAGTCCATCGTTAGGGTCGATAGACTGCCTTTTTCTATGGTAGAATATTAGATTGTTCTGAGAGTTGCGTATTATGCCCTTCTCTTTGAGACTGTTTATATGGTTTATGGTTAGGTGGTTTGTTGAGAATCCGACCGGTATCCGGATCTGCTCTATGCTATCTAATATTTGTTGGTTTGTACTGTTGCGGTTTCGTTCTAGGAACTTTTCAATTATCTTAAATATGAGGGTGTCTACTCGCTTGGTCTTTGAGATTTTGTATAGCTTTGAGTTTGATATGTAATTGTGTGAGTGGGGTATGAGGGAGCATTTCCCTAAGGCACGGCGTAGGATGCGTCTTTCAAAAAGACGTATTTCTTCCATTTGTCTGGATTTAATATTGAACCAACCGATGTGACCATGGATTAGGATTGGTTGGATTAGTTTCTTATAGGCAAGTGAACCTATTTTGATCAATTGAGCATTCGGATGGGATGGGTTCTCATTTAAGGGCTTGTAGATATGATGAATTTGGTGCAGTTGAATTTTTGCTCGTTTAAGGGTATGTTCGATGTGCTCTTGGAATTTGAGTTTTTCATCATATATGACTCCTAGGTATTTTATTTTTGATCTGGTTTGGGTTTCTGTATTGCCGTTTATATAGAGTTTAGGTTTGAATTTCCTAGCGTTTTTATATATACTTTTGAGCCTTGGGCCCTTGAAAATACATCCCTCGCACTTATTAACGTTAAGCTTAAGTCGCCATTTAGCAAAGTATTTGCATAGTTGGTCTAGATATCTATTGAGGTCCATTTCTGCGCTTGCTATCCATGCACCTGAAGATAGTAGTAGGATATCGTCCGCGTAGACGAGCGGCTGAATGCGCGCTGTCGAAGTTGAGGTGGGGATCTGTATGAAGGCTGGTAGATCAGCGAGGTAGATGTTATATAATATTGGTGCTAGGAGGGAACCTTGCGGCACACCTGCAGTTATTTCGCGGATTAGCGATTGCTCTATGCCGTCTGGGCTGGCGACATAGAAAGAACGGGTCGTAAGGTAGCTTTGAATAATACGTGTAGTATTTGGGTTAAACCGGAAGGTACTGCTCATTTTGTATATGAGGCCGTTCGTCCAGACTGTATCGAAAGCTTTTTCGAAGTCAAGGGCACAGGCAATTGTAGCACGCTGTCTAGCGATGTTGCTAGATATAAAGGAATTTGCGACAGCTAATGGGTTGCTAATAGATAGGTTGTCTCTAAAACCAAACTGATAGGGCTTAAGTATTTGATGGGAGTCTAAGTGTTTTTTGATTTGTGCCATTAACATTTTTTCAAATAAGAGGCTAATAGCGGAGAGGATTGAGATTGGCCTGTACCCTTGTAGGCTTTGTGGTTTTGCTTTAGGTTTTAGTATGGGAGTTATTCTGCTGCATTTCCAGGCATTTGGGAAGTAGCCTGAATTAAAGCAATGATTGAAAATAACTGCTAGGTGTTTGAGGACTAACATATTGCAATGTTTTAGGAGGTAATTACTACTGCCATCTGGTCCCATGGTTTTTTTGCTATTTTTCAATTTGACCCACTCGAGAAGTTGCTTGGCGTTTGTGAAGCCAAGCTCTTCTGAGTTTTCCCAGTTGCCGTCTGCTCTTCGGCTGGGATCAAAGTTGACTATGTAGTTTGGTATGTGCAAGGGATTTTGTGCTATAGTGCCGACTCGCCTATTTATGCGGGCAGTGTGTTGCCTAAGCTCGGGGCTGCCATTAGACATGTCGTCA